TACTTTTATAATAATAAATAAAGAATAAATATGAAAAACAAGAAATAAAGTACTTACCCAATCTTCTTTTTTTCTTCCCCTCGACTGTTGAGGACAGTTAAGTCTGATTTGTTATAGTAATTATAGTATTGCACTTAATAGTTTTTTTAAATTAAATAATGCACCAAAGAATATAGACTAATAACATGCAAAAAGTAGACAAATTGCCTTACCTCGTAAAATTTTTCTGGCTTTCCAACTAAGCGACAAGAGCCGTTACAAATTCATCCAAGCTAGTCGTTAACTTTCCCATGGGAATGAATCTTATAGTGTGAGTGAAATTGACGATTTTCTGTTCAGAATACAATATTATACAATACATCATTTGATAGATGAAAACCATGACTTTCTATTGGTTATAAGTAATATATAATTAAACCTAAGAGAGAACTATCAATGAATTGTGAAAGAGAGGATGTGGCAGGAGGGGTCTGATTTTCTATTTGATAGCTCTGTAACCAAATAGAATTGAAGACTATAAAAATTATGGTTTGTCTGACCAATAACGATTTTATAAAGAGTAATTTATGCTTAATTTGTACTTTTTCAAGGGGTGGTGGATAAAATAGGGATAATGACATGCTAAGAAAAAAAATGTGTCATGTGGGTCACACTAGTGGAAATTAAGGATTTTTTAAGGTATTGCCTTGTAGAATTAAGAACTTAACTTACATACTATTAAAATATGGATTATTAGCTGAGATTTTATGCTATTCTAATTGGTATAACATAAATAGAAAGTGGTTTAATAAAATTTTGAATGTAAGACACTAAAATCTTGTGTCATGCTCAGTAAAGGGTACATGGGGTGATAAGGTTAATTGACATGACCCTAGCATGTGGTGGAGTTGATTGTATGCACATGCAGTGAGTTGGGGTGAGGCGTGAGTTCTATAAATATCCCCTTAACATCAGTCCAGTGCTCCAGGGTATTCGTATCATCCTGTAGAAACCATTCCAGCTTCACTGACCCCAATGTAATCCAAAATTAGGGAATCTGACAAAAATTATATTATATTAACCATATATATTACCATTGAATTATAAAAATAAAACAAATGTTCACATATCAACCTACTTCTGAAATTGTTTTTAAAAAAAGGGAAAACAAGTAGTAAAAAAATTTTGCAAATGTTAAGTATAATGGAGGGATGGCAATGCCAAAAAGTACAGAAACATGGTAGGGATGAATATACAAAAATCCCTACA